TGGCCAACTTGAAGAGGGATTTGTGATTGAAGCTGTATCATGGATCCATTTTGTGAAAGAGGCTAAAGTTTAATGATGTCATGATTAAGATAAAGTGAGGCTGATGCAAAACAAACTGGTAAAGAAAAAACACTTGTTTGGGTTGCTAGAGCACAAAGTTATTGTGGGCTGAAATGTCTTATATTACAGGCACTGTACATATAGATGTACCAAAATAGAACTGTTTAAAAAAATCTTCAGCAAAAACAGTGAAAAAAGTCTTTTTGTAGGTCCAGGTCACAACTAACTGCTATACCACCTGGTAAACCACCAAACTTGGAAACCCCTACTCTTGGCATGCAAGGGGAAAAAAGATGAAGTTAAATTGAAGTTAAATGATAATCTGTAAATATGTAATTTTAAAATAATGTCCAAACATCTGAAGGAGCTCAGATAACGAGACGTTAACCCACCACACGAGATCAAACTTTAACTAAGCGACGTCTTTTTGTCCACTTGATGAGAAATTCCAATCTTACCACAGATGACCATAGAAATTCACTCAGAGGGAAGTTTTGCTGGCAGCTGGCACTTTTTCACAGGGTTTCCAGTCAAACAGATAGGCAGTGTGACAGGCCAGTCAATAGAAGTCAGCAGTGATTATGCAAGTTGCTTAAGCCTAATGAGAAAGGTCAGCACATTGCCAGGAGTGGGACACATGCCCAGTCTCACAGTAAGAAGTATAGTACGCAATCCTAAACAATACAGTGCCGCATAAATACACATTCCCTGTTCCCTTACCCTGTGAGTGAGTTTCCTTTGAAGGAAATTGCGGCAAGCGAGGCTTTTTATTACATAACACCTGTGTTCCTATAAACATTTATTTATATTTTCTACAATTCTAAGTAAATAATTAAAAGAAAAAATTCTAAGTATGTTTCAGCTAATACAAAAGTAAGCATGTTTCCGGCTGTGTTTTAAAAAAATAAAGTAAAAAAAATGGTTCATAGAATCCACAAAACGTTAATGCTTGCAATTGTGTTGAACATCGTAATCAACCAAACCAAGAGACACTTGGGCAGTCCCAGAACTTCCTGGAAGGACTGTACTTCCTATCTGGTCTGGGAATGTCTTAGAGTCCCACAAGAGGAGCTGGGGAGATGAATGACAGGGTTTTTCTTCTAAACCTGTTGCCCCCACAACCCAAGCATAGATAAGTAGTAAAAGATAGATGGATTAATTTGTATTGTTTTGCATTGTATTGTAATTTATTATTTTATGTTGTATCAACACTTTAATGTTGGTTCATCTCAGACTACTGCCAGTTCTAGATGGTTACCACTGGAAATTGGCCAGGATGACACACCTTGGGTCCTGTCCAGTATTGCTATTGTGTTGAAATTAGTTCTCGGTGCCATGATAGATGTCTCCATAGTGTCCTTCAGCTCAGCTTTCTCTAGCCACTAGGGTTTGTTGCTGCCAGTTACACGGGGCCAACTCCCCTTAATAATGGGTCGCCTCATTCTACCTTGTGTGTTTCTGCGTATTTGTACTATACAAGATTATCTCAGTTATCATTGCTGTATTTGTTTGTGTACCATCTATGCACCCCCCCCCCCAACACTCCCTTAGGCAAAGCTAGCTTTGGTTGACAGAACAGCATCTTCTTTGCAATTTATCTCCCTCGCTCCCTCACATATGTTTTTAATAATTATCTTGACCTGGGTTTGTGCACAGGTGTATCTTATATAAATCCAACTCAATTACAGTCTACACAGGGATTTATATTATATCCTGAAAAGGTTAGACAACCTCCTGTTATGTCAAGTCTGAACACTACATCTGTAAGAAAGCAAAAGCAGTTTTCCTGTCTAAAAAAAAAAATCCAGGGACGCTAAATCAACTAGGTAAAATTAGATGC